CCTACAAAGAGCATTTTTGTAATCTTGATTTTTCAATTAAAACGTAGTATTTTCTTATAGTGAAAATCACCTTTAGTAGCACCACCACGACAGCAAAAATGTTAACAGAAAGGTAGAAGCCGACCCTAAAGGGGTTTCGGACCGCGGCTGACCGCCGAGGAACTTCGTGTGTGATCGGAGCAGTGTTTAGAATTACATGAATTAAGTGACTCGTAGGATATCACAGAAGGGTGCTTATCTCATTTTTTAGCAGAGGCTTTTGTCTTTCACCTTAAGCATTCTTTGAGATCTTTTTTTAACCGTTTATTTATACAGAGGTCAAGCAGAATCGACATGTCTGGGGCTGCGGAAGCGATCTTCAGAGCCAGCGACCGTCGTCCTGCCGGCGGCAGCCCTGTGCTATGCTTTGGACAGGTAACGTGTGGCTCCCTCCCCGGAGAGGACGAAGTCGGGTGAGAAAAGTTACGACATGATGAGCTGCAGAGCGTCACCACGCACGTGAAAGCTGTTTGCCATTAATCGGCTTTTCTTCAGATGCGTTACTTGGTGGTCTTTGGCGAGCTCTGACAGCATTCTAGAACTTAGCATCAAAGGACCGAGGGTACTGAGGACTACATTTGGATTTAAATTTACTTTTTGGATAGATAACACATTCATATGCTATTGAATTCAAAATGAGACAAAGACTGTATGTGACACGTCCCCCGTCCCCCTTGAGCCCCTGTGTCCTTGCCGGCCAGGCCTCTTTCCTGGGGGATCCCAAGCTACCGGAGTCCTGGTCTTCGTCGAGACATTGTGTGTGTAGAAAAGGCTTTCTTGCTGCATCTTTGTCTTTACCAGAGATTTGTTTATGAGTGTTCACCTCCTTTAAACGGGGCCAGGGGACAAAAGCAAAGTCAGCGAGGGAAATTGTTGAATTGGAGAAGAAGGTATAAAACTTTGGAGAGGACAGGTGGGATCAAGCCTTCCTATCCTGTTTTCTTTCTTTCTTTTTCTTTTTCTTTTTTTTTTTTAGCGGCAGAGTCTCACTCTGTCGCCGAGGCTCGGGTGCAGAGTTGTCATCATGGTTCACTACAGCCTGGAACTCCTGGGCTCAGGTGATCCTCCTGCCTCAGCCAGGACTACAGGTGTGTGCCACCATGCCTGGCTAATTTTTAAAATTTTTTTATAGAGAAGGGATCTCACTAGGTTGCCCAGGCTTATCTCAAACTACTGGCTTCAAGTGATCACTCCTCAACGGCCTCCCAAAATGCTGGGATTACAGGTGTGAGTCACCATGTCTGGCCTGACTTGAGAAAATTATAAAATTTTATAAGGATGTAGCAATAGCTAAGGCAGTGATCCTCAAAATGTGGCTTTGACACCCCTGGAGAATCACGAGACCCTTCAGCATTCATGAGGTCAAAGTTATTTTCATAATAATGCTAAGATACTGTTTGCGTTTTTCACATTAAGCCTCTCACGTGTGAATGGTAGAGTTTTCCAGAGACTGCACAGCATGATGGTATCATCACTCTGATGCCTAATGCAATGTGTGTCTTAAAGGTTTCTCAGTTTTAATTCCTAATACGATGGATATAACCAAGATAAACAAAAGCTCTTGGGGTCCTCAATAAGAGTGTAAAGGGCCGGGCGTGGTGGCGCGGCCTGTAGTCCCAACACTCTGGGAGGCTGAGGCAGGAGGATGCTTGAACCCCGGAGTCTGAGGTTGCATGAGCTACGATGATGCTGCTGCACTCCAGTCTGGTGAGAGAGGGGGACTCTGTCTCCAAAAAACAGAGCATAAAAGGGTCCTGAGACCAAAACGTTGCAGACTCGGTGACGTAAGGCGCGGTGGAAACGTCCGATTTCCCCTTTCTGACTGCAGTGCCAGTACACGGCAGAGGAGTACCAGGCCATTCAGAGCGCGCTGCGGCGGAGGCTGGGCCCGGAATACATCAGCAGCCGCACGGCTGGAGGAGGCCAGAAGGTAGGAGAGCGCCCACGCCGGAGAGCTTGTGTCCGTGCGTGCAGACTGCTCAGGCGACCTCGCAGCTCTCTCTCTGGGTCTCACGGGTGCGGGAGGCTCTTGCTCACTGTGCGTGGAGGTCTCCTGGTGCCCCTGGGTAGGGATGGGTCCGGCCTTCATTCTCATCCGAAGGGGCCCAAGCATCCTCTTGAGACCTGGATAACTGCCGTCTTAGGATTTTCATACCATTTTAAAAAATGTCCCTTTTGCCATTCGCTGCTTTTTATTTTTTAA